GATCCACCTGCCTTGGCCTCCCAAAGTGCTGGGATTACAGGTGTGAGCGAGATCTTTACAGATACATGGAGTCTTTAAGGTGGAGTCACTCAGGTGGGTCCTCATCCAACAGGAGAGGTGTGTTGTAAGAAGAGGAAGCCTGGACAGACAGGAAGAAATTGATTGAGGATGACGACAGCCACCTGCAAGCCCGGAGGAGAGGCCTCAGGAGAAAGCAGCCCTGGGCACCCCCATCGCGGGCTCTGCCCCTGCAACTGGGAGGGAACCAGTTTTCTGGTTTGTGATATGAAACCACCTGGTTTGTGATACTTTGTTATGGCAGCCCCAGCAAACTAAAACTGCAGCGCCATGGGTCTCCCTGTCTTGGCCCCTCAGTCCCTACGACCTGGGCACCTTGCAAGCGCAAGGAAGGGACCCTCCAGTTCTGGGATGCGCCCACACACCCTGCTTTCTTCCCTGAGCTCTGGTCACCAAGGAGGCAAAGGGGAGAGGGGCTTCCAAGGGGCCCGTCATTTGGAAAGGGGAAACCAGCTTCCGTTGCCATGGCAACTCCACTGGGATGCTCTGCTGTTTGCACATTTTGAAATTGGAGGTGGGTAGTGAGAAGGGAAAAAGGAAAGAAAAATGGAGGGAGGTGGGACTATCCACGGCAACAGAAAAGAGACAGAAAAGCAAACAAAGTTTTGGAAAAATCCAGCTTTGAATGGGCAACCCTGACAGGGCCTACTGAGCTCAGATGAGTCTCGGGGGCTCAGGGATGTCCCCACTAAGTCGTGGTGGCTCTGGCCAGATGTCAGCCCAGGTCCCTCCCTGTCAGAGAGGAAATGGAGGCTCAAGGACGAGAAGCAGCCTGCACAACGTGACCTTGTGACTTGGAGGATCTCCAGGCTAAAGCGGCCGCCCTGGATGAGGACTCCTCTCCTTGTAATGAGCCAAACGTTTGAGCCAGCCCCCCAAATTCATATGCTGAAACCCTAAACCCCAATGTGATGGTTTTATGAGGTGGTGCCATTGGGAGGTAATCAAGTCATAAGGGTGGAACCTTCATACACAGGATTAGCATCCTTATAAAAGGGACCCTCCAGGACCTGGGTGTGGTGGTGTGAACCTCTAATCCCAGCACTTTGGTAGGCTGAGGTGGGAGGATCCCTTGAGGCCACAAGTTCAAGACCAGCCTGAGCAACATGACAAGGCCCCATCGATACAGAAAATACAAAAATTAGCTCGACGTGGTAGTGCACACCTGTAGTCCTAGCTGCCTGGGAGGCTGAGGTGGGAGGATTGCTTGAGCCCAGGAGATTGAGGTTGCAGTGAGCCATGACTGCACCACTGAACTCCAGCCTGGAAAATGGAGTGAGAGTGTTTTTAAAAAGGGGGAGGCTAGAGAGTTCTCTGGTACCCTGATTTCACACTTCTAGCCTCCCAAACGGTGAGAAATAAGTAACTCTAGTTAATGAGCCATCCAGTTCACGGTACCTTGTTGCAGTGGCCTGAGTGGGCTAAGACCTTCTTCCTTGGAGAGCCCACACAGTGGAATTCGTGGTTCTTATGACGCCCGTGTGAGGATTCGAGTCACACCTGCACCCACCATACGCTCCAAGGAGAGACTCAACTTCTAGGGTCGGGCTGGCAGGCGCTTGACTGCTCTCACAGGATGAACCATTATAGAGAAAAGCAAAGCCGCTGCAGAACTAGGCGATGTCTAAATTTAGCCTCACAAAGAATCTAGAGCACGGGAGCATGGAAATACTATTCCGAAGGGACATAGAAAATACAATGGACTGAGGAGACCGAATTCACTGCGAGTAAGGGAACGCGGGCTGGGGGTGGGGGCAGAAGTCAGGTGACAGAAGGACCAGGCCGAGATGCGGCTGTGTGTGCCTGATTCCCCAACAGCCCATCGGATGGAGGTGCACCGCGGGGGTGGGGATGGGCGAGGGGCAGACACCAGGCAACAGGAGGACCAGGCAGAGATGCGGCTGTGTGCGCCTCATTCCCCAACAGCCCATCGGACGGAGGCGC